GCACCCACGTATATTCTCCTCTGACCTCCAAGAGTGTGCTGGGGTAGGGGGGCAGGTGCAGTGAAAGAGGGAGAAGAGAGGACATGGCAGGATTTTTATTTCTTAGAAACATCATGAAAAAACCAGAGGTTGTTTGTTTGTTTGTTTGTTTGTTTGTTTGTTTTTAATGAATCTGTCATCTGGTAGGTGTTTCGTTGTTTTATCTACTGACTAGCAATAACACTTTGGACTAAGTCCTTGATCTCCATGTACCCATAAAATGAAGAGGACAGTAATACTTGTCCAGGAAGCTGTTGGAGAAAATGAAATCATACAGATGGAAGTATTCTGAGATCATTGAAAGAAACGTTACACTTATCCATGGTATTCGTTTGCTTTGCTTTTCTCTCTTTCTTTCTTGAGTGCAGTTTTAATGGTCATGCAGTAGATACCCTTCTCCATTGTTCATGCTAACACGAAAACCCAGCTCTGATAATCCAGGAGGCCAGGCAAGTCCAGAAATCAGTCCTATTTCACTCTGGAATACCTTTTTCCAGAGTACTTAGCTTCCTAATAACTTTTGCTCCGGCTAATACAACGGGTTCACTCCCTTACAGCACACAGAGGGAGGGACCTGCTGAGTAACAAAGCCAGCAACTAATGAAAACTTTGCAGCAGAAACTGCACAAAGTAAATGCTACGCACATGACAGCAGGTCAAAATCTCATTGTACTTTACAGACAAATCGCTCAGCTCTAATGCAGTTTTGGAGTAAGAACACCGCTAACACACATTTCCGGGATTCAGAATAGGAAAAGGAAACGGGCTTATTCCTGCCTCTCATCTGGAAGCTTGGAGAGAGCAGCATCCTATTTGCCTTGGCCACACTAGATCCCAGCACCTGGCACAGGGCCTGGCAGAGTCGCTGCCCAATAAATACACACATTGAAGAAATGAATGAAAATAAACGTGTGTGAATTAACAAAGGAAATGTTCCCAGCCCAGTAGCAGAAGTGAGATCTCACCCATCTTCACACCTACCCTTTTCCTAGTTGAAGCCCTCAGGAAGCCTTTCCTGTCACACACCACTACTGCTGGATTAGGTCCCCTTGTAATGGATTCTCATGGCAGGCAGCAGCTCTCCTGTGCAGAACTTACCACATGGTAATTACATACTTCCTGGTGTCTGCCTCTGCTACCAGACTGTAAATTTCCTGAGGGAAGGGGCCATGTGCATTTTGAAAGGGGTGTACACTGTAATCCCCCCTACTTTTTATTTTGAAAAGTCTTAAACATACAGAAAATTTGTGAAATAGTACAATGATCAGGCATATACTCTTGACTTAGATTTAAAAAGTTGAATATTTGGGACCATGTAAATTTTTTTTCAGTGCTATATCCCCAGGAGAGGTATGGGTGAATATTGGAGTTTGCTCCCCCTGTTTATATTTTTAGTGTGAAGTGGTGGAGATGGTTGAGGCAGGGAGCTTCAAGGGGAATCAAGGGGAAGTGCCATTTGATAGCAAGCCCAGAGTGCAGCCACCTGTAGACAGTTGCCCTAAGGCACTTGTTCCAGGCCAACCCCAGCTAGGGTAAAGTTCGCCCCTGCAAGCTCTTTCATTGGGAGAAAGATCACTACCTGGCTGCTACTGGTAGAAAGCATAATTTCCCACATTTTGGATTGTTTCAAGCCAGAATCATGGTTGTTTCTATGGGCCAGCACTTACAGTCTACAACTCAAAATGCAACACTGAAAGAAACAGCTCAAGAGCCAGGAAATGCAGCCTCTGGGGCCTGCACTGTGTCCAGCTAGGTTACCTTGAACAAGTCATGCATTCTTTCAGAGTATCTACACTAATAAAAGGGTAATATGCTAATTAGATCAGACATCTTCCAGATGTCCTTCTGGACAAAGCCACAGTGGTGGGGGCTGAGGCAGAGGTGGTTAGTGGCAATCAGGCCGGCAGGGGAGAGCAGTCAGGGGGACAATCAGGCTGGCAGGCAGGGGAGCAGTTAGGGGCATCAGGCCGGTAGGCAGAGGTGGTTAGGGGCTATCAGGCAGGCAGGCAGGCGAGCGGTTAAGAGCCAGCAGTCCTGGATTGCGAGAGGGATGTCCCGGATTGGAGAGGGTGAAGGCCAGGCTGAGGGATGTGCCACCCCCCCCGCCGCACGAATTTTGTACATCGGGCCTCTAGTGTATATATTAATAGCAGCTAAGCCACCTCACAGATAGGGGTTGGGGGTAGAGACATCCCAAAAATCTGTTGTAGTTTCCTAATTATTTTGTCCACAATTTGTCTCCCCAACTAGACTATAAGCTTAAAAGCCAATAACTTTATCCACTACTTTTTTGTATAGTTGACCAGGGCTAGCCATCATGTGGGACACTTAGCAGTCAATCAAATAAACACTTGTGTTCACAACAGAGAAATCGCTTTGTCATGCAGAATCTTTGTAGTGTTCATTCAAATGGGATGGGATTGTACTATGTACAGGAGAACTGAACTTGCAAGTTGCATGTATGCCCAAATAAGGGCCCTACCCAACAACTCTAGGGCCTGTTTTAGTCTAGCCAGAGTGACCCTCAACTGACTCTGGAAAGAACACACAAGCACACACACACACATACCAGAGGACTACTTGCATGGCGCCTTGTCTCAGAGCTCACTAAACAGAACTCTTAAGCCAGGCATACTCAGGTTTATTCTCCAGTCTTCTCTTCCCAACCCCTGGATACATGTTCCCTGGAAGAAACAAACTGCAACCAGAAGGCCAAGGTCTCCTGAGTTAATTCCATCTTCCCCTGGTGAATTACAACTTCTTGCAGACACAAAGGAGAGCAGAGATACAAATGACACATTAAACAAGAGCTTCATTGGCTGGGGGAGGGGGACCTGGAGAGTGACGTCAGTTTTCCCAGAAACCCATTTATCACGATAACAAGGTCTCAAGTGCTCTGCTGCTCTTTGAGCTTCAGAATCTGGCGTACAATTATGTTCTTCATCATACAGTACAGCAAGGATAGCCAGAGCAAACTGTAACCATGCAAAGCAAACGAAGTGGCCTTAAACCACTCCACCCCCATCTGCAGAACAAAGGGATGTCTGGGTTGCTGGAGTTGTGCCTGAGGTGAAACACAACCTTCTAGAATGTTCCCCTTTGCAACATCTGCCCTGCAGTCCTAATCCAGGCAAAAGGACTGGTGAAAGCTTACAGACAGGTCAATGCAAATTAATTAGCTGGCAAGAAAAATCATTAGCATCCTTTTTGGTCACTAAGGATGGGACAAATGTAATCCAGGAGACTAATTCTTCTATTAAACCATGCTATGTCTAAAATGCAGGTAATGAGAAGAAAAGCACTATGGGAACCCTCAAAACACTAAAGTAATAGATATCACAGCACTAATCTTGGGAGATTAGCTAAAATTGAGAGAACTCTCTCAATTTCCATTATCCCAGCGCATCCTATCTACTGAGTCCTTCCACATCGTGACTATATAAAAAGCTCCATCTGGGGTCTGCAGGAGTTGGGGGAGGTTTCAAAGAAATCACTCTGCCCTTCCAAACAGGGACAAGAGGGTGGAATAAATTCATACATATCCTGTAGAGAAAACACTTGGATTCTGGATTCAGATTTTGAAAACAACTATACCAAATACCTTAGAGGCTTTTTATTGCCCTGGAATTGTATTGCACAGACTATTTCCCTTAATAAGTAAACACAAGGTTTTAAAATATGTGTGTGTGCGCGTGTGTGTTTTGAGATTTTCATCAAGTAGAATTTGGTGTCATGGGATTTGACCTACCTCTACTTCACTCTCCTTCCTGGCCTCAGGGTGCTGGTAATTGTGGGCTTCTGAAAATTCCAGAAACCCGTGGAGGAATAGAAAGGCTAGGTTGTTCCCCCAAATGGAATCACCCCCTCCCTTTGCAACCAAACTTCTGATCTAAAAAAACAAACATGGGGCCTCGGGTCACTTCAATATGATTTCTGTGTACACCTCGGGCTAGAAAACTTCAGTTCTTTAAATGAAGATTTCTGCGCCTCCCCCCCCCCCCCCCCAGTCTCTTGCCAACAAAGAGAGGGCACCATGTTTGCAAACCTCACAGTTATTTTCCTGAGTTCCCATAGAAAGAAGCCAGCTCCACAGACTTTGGTGCTCAAGCCCAGTTACACAGAACATTCACCACTACACACCCCCAGAGGCCGCACAACCTGGGTCAGGTGCTCAGAACGCTGCCAAAATACGCAGCCAGCCACCTACAGGCCAGTGGACTGCACCCCACACAGAGGCACAAATGGGACCCAGAGACACACAGCACAAGCAGAGAGGCGTCTGAACACTCACCCTGAAGGTGAGCACACTCAAGACAAACTGGCGGACTCATCTAGGGTCAGAGAGCAGCGGGGCGCCGCCGCCCGCCGGGGAGGCACGAGTGCGCGCGCGTGCACTCAGACGCACACAGTGCTCCACACTCACAGACGCAGTCACATATGTAATGCATATGGAGAATCCCTCCCCCAGCCAGTCACCTCCCCGCCCCCCTCACCACTCACCGACTCCTGCCCCAGGCTAACCCCAGGCCCGGGTCCCTTTTCCCAAGGAGGCCGAGTCGCAACGGGCAGCTGCGCGCAGGGGCGCGGCCCGGCGGTCCAGGAAGCCAGGCCAGGGTGCCCGAGACGCGGAGGGCTTGGCGGCTCTTGCAGCCATTCATTCGGCAACGCCCCAGCGGCGGGACCGCTGCTGCAGCGAGGGAAGCGGCAGCGCTTATTGCAGATATTGGGCAATTCAAGTTCAGCCGCCGGCCCGCAGCCTTGGCCACCCGCCCGCCACCACTGTGGTTCTCGGGGACTGGCTCGGGGACTGAGCCGCTGATCGCGGGAGCAGAAGTCCCACGGCACCTTGACTCCTGGATGCCGCTCACTGCCCTCCTCGCGAAGGCGGTGGCGGTGGCCAGGTCCCCCCCGCCCAGCCCAGGCCCTTGGCCCGGGTCCTGACACCCAAGCCCCGCACTCACCACCTGGCGAGCTATGTCGGTCGCTGCCATCCCTCCAACTGCTCCTGCCTCCTCCAGGGCTGCCTCGGGCGCCTCCTCAACGGGAGATCCAGCACGGGAAACAGGGGAGCTCCTCCGACAAAGAGAAAGTGTTACACTTTGGGCGCGACCAAGTCCTGTGGGGGGAGGTGCAAGGGAGGAGCCCCCTCGCCGCTGCTCCAACCCCAATCTCCCCTCTATCGCCCACCCCCTCGGAAGTGGGGTCTGGGGAGGAGACGGATTTAACGCGACGCTTCCCCCTACTAGCGCGCTTCCAGTTCTCCCTACAACCTCAGTCGCTGGCCTTGGCGAAGGGAGGCGGGGGCTCCCCTCGGTGACCACGTCCTGCCCCACCCCCGCCACTGGGTTCCATGGTACGTCCCGACCTCTGCTGAATTGTCACACCCCCCTGCTCTCGCCTTACATCCCTGAGTCTCCAGACCCCCAAAGGCTGGAGGGGAGCCCCTGCCCCTCCCCCTCCCGCGCACAGCTCTGCGGCTGAGCTCCGCAGTCCTTCTCTCCTTCCCCCCAGACCCCCTGGATCCCTTCTCCCTCTCCACCGAGATATCAGGGTGCAGGGGTTCCGGTGCCCGCCACTGGAGTCTTGATGCTCCACCACACCTGACACCGGTCCCCCCAGCCCCCATCTTGGCCCGGGAGTGCTGCTGAGGCCGGAGGGGGGCAGCTGCTGCGGCACCTGCAGCTCCGTAGTGAAGCTTAGAAAGGGGACGGTGGAGGGAGCCGCACTGCCGCCCCGCAACTGAGCTGTGACCAGCGGAGTCCGAGGCCAGCAGTTCAGAGATGAAGCGCCCCTTCTGCCCTGGGGTTTCTACGCCTCGGGTCCTGTGGGCTGTAATTTCGTGGAGCCAAGCCACCACCGTTGGGTACTTAATACAGATGGGCCCCATGCCTCCTCTCCCCACCCAGCCCCAGACCGCCTACCCTCTCCCTCTCTTGCCCTGGACCCTTGGGGAGTCAGAGGAGGTGCTTGGGGATGAAGATCCCCAGCTCTGTGGAGCCGGATAGTGGGCAGTGAGGAGGAGCTGCCTCCAGTGGCTGTAGGCCGACCCCTGATTGTCCTTAAACCTTGGGTGAGCCCAGGAGAGCCTACAAGGCAGAGGCTACGTCTGTCTGATTTTCTTTTCCTCTTGGCCAGCACTGCTGCGGGTCCCCTCTCTTGCCCTTGGCACCTCTCCACCACTGCAGCCCTGATGCCCCCTTTCTCTCCCCCCTCACCCCGGGAGTGGCCCTTTGCTAGTTCCCTGGGACTGGGGACCCTGGCAGATTTGGCTGCCGGAAGCCTGAGGGGTGGAGCACTCCAGTCCTCAAAAGGGCAGGTGCTCTGGTCTCAAAGGGGGACCCAGACCCTAGAGTGGCATCTGGGACCACGAGGGGAGGCAGGCCTGTGGGCAAAAACTGGGTCCGCAGGGGGTCTGGATAGGGAGAGGCCTCTCAGCAGCCAGTCCAAGGCGGGAGCGGCTGAAGGGGAGGCGGGAGGGAGGAAAGCAGCAAAACAGGAACCAGGGAGAGAGAGGGAGAAGGGACCCGACCCAGTGGCCCAGGCCTGTGGAGAAGGAAGGAAGGCAGAGAAATGGGGTGGTCACATGAAGCACGTTACTGGCAACCGTGCTTCTCACTGCTGTTTGGGGGAATTCCTTGGGTGCGGAGTGCACCTGAAGAACTAGGACTGCGCACAAAGCATCCCTAGTGCCTAGCTCGGGGCCTGACACTCAGGAAGTGACCAATTAAGCGTGTCTTAAACAGGAAAG